CCGACATACTATTTTTCCCGCACAGGTATCATCAATCAACCACACCACTAGGGCGACGGCGTTCACCGGTATACCTACCGGGACCTGAAAGGGCGGGTGAACCGGCTGTGCAACGCGCTTGAAGGCCTTGGGGTCGGCAAGGGCGACAGGGTTGGCACGTTCGGATGGAACACATACCGGCACCTGGAAGCCTATTTCGCGCCGCCGACGATGGGAGCAGTAACCCACACCACCAACATCCGGCTGTCTCCCGATGATCTGACGTACATAGTCAATCACGCCGGGGACAAGGTGATGCTGGTGGACCCCGACCTCGTCCCCGTACTCGAGCCGCTGGCCCCCCAGGCTGGAGAATGTCGAGCACTTCGTGATCCTGACCGATGATTCCAGCTTCCAGACGTCGCTGCCTTCGGCGCACATCTACGAGGACCTGCTGGAGGGTGCGTCTGACATCTACGACCGTCCGGCCCTGGACGAGAACGACCCGGCGGGGCTCTGCTACACGTCGGCAACGACCGGGAGGCCCAAGGGCGTTACCTACACCCACCGGGCGCAGATACTGCACGCGATGATGGAATGCTCGGCCGACTCGGCAGGGGTGCGAGAGCGGGACGTGGTGATGGCGGTGGTGCCGATGTTCCACGCCAACAGCTGGGGCGTACCGTACTCGGCGACGATGACCGGGGCGACCCAGGTGCTGACGGGCGTTCGCCCCGACCCCGCCTCCATCTGCCGGTTGATCAACGACCACCGGGTCTCCATCAGCCTGGGCGTTCCCACGATCTGGGTGGGGATGCTGGACTTCCTTTCGCGCACCGAGGAGGAGTTTGACCTTTCCTGCCTGCGGATGGTGGTGAGCGGCGGCTCGGCGGTGCCGCGGAGCATGATCCAGGCGTTCAAGGAGCGGCTGGACATCGAACTGGTGCAGGCCTACGGGATGACGGAGGCCACACCGCTGGTGTCCTTCAACCGCATGGGCAGCCACCTGGACGGGCTGGGAGACGAGGACAGGCTGACTGAGCAGGGCAAGCAGGGCACACCGGTATACGGCGTGGAGATGCGGGTGGTCGACGAGAACGGGGTGGACCTGGACTGGGACGGCGAGCAGCGGGGCGAGCTGCTGTTCCGGGGTCCCTGGATCGCTGCGGAGTACCTGAACGACCCGCGCAGCGACGAGACGTTCATCGACGGCTGGTACCACAGCGGGGATATCGCCTCGCTGGACCGGTGGGGCAACATCCAGATCGGGGACCGGGTCAAGGACATGGTGAAAGAGCGGCGGGGAGTGGATTTCGTCGGTCGACTTGGAGACGGCGATCATCGCCCATCCGGGGGTGCTGGAGGCGGCGGTGATTGCCATTCCGCACCCGACGTGGCAGGAGCGCCCGATCGCCTGCGTGGTGGCGAACGCCGAGTACCGGGACTCGCTGGACAAGGGCGAGGTGCTGGACTTCATCCGGCCGCGCTTCGCGTCCTGGTGGATTCCCGACGATGTGGTGTTCATCGACGAGATCCCCAAGACCAGCGTGGGGAAGTTCGACAAGAAGGTGCTTCGCGACCGGTTCCAGGATCACCAGGCGGGACGCTAAGCCCCGGGGCACTCCCAATACATAAGACCCTCGCTGAGGGTCTGTATTACAGCGTAACCGAGGCCAGAGAGCGCCGGGTCAGGGTATATTCCGCCCGGCGCTTTCGTTTTCCTGGGAGGCGCTGAGGAGGCGATTGATCTCGTTTCTTGCTTCCTGCCTGCGGCGGAAGGTGAAAAAGACGTAACCCAGGAACACCACGCCAGTAACGACAAAGGCGGCGATCAGGTAGGAGAGGTTGGAGGGGGGCAACCCCATCTGCAGCAGCTGAATCATCTCAGTCTATTGGCGCTGACGCCTTCAAGAGTATGCGGGGTGCTCTAGGCTTCGGCTGAGCGGCCCTGTCGCCTCAACTGGAACCGGGTGCGGCTCAGTTCGTCCTCGGTGTTGAGCGTGGCCATTCGTTCCATGATGAGCCAGATGGAAAGGGCCAAAAAGGCGATGAGGGAATACATCAATACCATGTTCATAGTGCCGCTAAGTGACCCGCTCTCGGAGAGCGGCCCAACCACCTGCGGCGGATGGATCGAGCGCCACCACTGCACTGCGAAATAGACGATGAAGGCGTCGACGGAGCCGATGATACCGACCACTGCGGACAAGACTGCGGCCTTGGAGCGATTGGAGGTAAATGCCCGCACCATCAGGTAGCCTGCGTAGATAAACCACAGAACCAGCGTCAGGGTGAGGCGAGGTTCCCAGGTCCACCAGACGTTCCATACGGGCTTGGCCCAGAGGATTCCGGTAATCAGGGCCAGTGAGACGTATACGAAGCCGACTTCGCCCGCAGCGACGGCCATTCTGTCCCATCGGCCGTTCCGGGTCTTCAGGAACATCACGCTGCCGATGAAGACCACCACGAAGGCCACGAGGGAGAAGATGGCGATAGGGACGTGGATATAGAGTGCGCGCTGCACGTTCCCGAGGTTGGCGTCGGTGGGCGCCACCGCAAAGATCATGTAGAGGTCAACCAGCAACAGGAGGCCGGCGATGATGCCCACGGCCGTCCTTGGGCTGAGTTTCCATCCTCGCCGGGACGTCGACACTTCTCCGACGCCGCCGACGATTCTATCCGCGTCTGCCAAAACCTGCTAATCCTCTACGATATACGAAAATACCCACGGACATATTAACAGAAACAGGGCGTCGAAAACTCCGATAAGCGGCAGCCACCGTCCTAGCCCCACGAAGGTCTCACCACCCACCGCGCGGGTGGAGGCCTCCACAGCAGCCAGTATCACCGGCAAGACTATGGGAAAGAAGAGCACGGGCAGCATTATTTCCCTTGAGCGGGTCTGGGCCGCAAGGGCGGAGAACAACGTCCCGATCAGCGCGAAACCGAGAGTGGCCAGCAGTATGGTCGCGCCCAGAGTCCACGACAGGGCAGAGAACCCCAGCATGACCGCATATGCGGGCAGCAGGACTGCCTCGATCAGCAGCATGAACATGAAGCTGGTTGCCGCCTTGGCCAAGAAAATTGCATCGCGGCTGACGGGGGAGACCAGCAACCCTTCAAGCGCTCCCGCCTCCTGCTCCCGGGCGAAGGCGCGGTTCATGGCGATGGTGGCGGAGAAAGCGAAGCCCACCCACAGGATCCCGGGGGCCAGCCTGGCGGCCTGCCCAGGGTCAGGGTCAAGGGCGAAACTGAAAACGACCACCAGCAGCAGGCCAAACACGACTACCGAGGCGACGAGCTCCCGCGAACGAACCTCGAGCACGATGTCTTTCCAGATCATCGTTGCTATTGGCCCGAGGAATCCTTTCACAGACCAACTCCCCCGGAAAGGGACCGCGCGAGAGCCTGCTGAATATCATCATCGTCGCCCTCGGCCATGGTCAGCTTGCCGCCGGATAGCACCGCGGCCCGATGGCCCCAGGCCAGACCCAGTTCGACATCGTGGGTGGTGAGGGCGGCAGAGCGTCCCCCGGAGGTCCAATCGGACAGCAGTTCGCTGAGCATCTGTCGCGAGTCGCGGTCGAGTCCCGCCTCGGGTTCATCCAGCAGCAGAAGGTCCGGCTCGTGCAGGATGGCGCGGGCGATGGCCGTCCGCTTCTGCATGCCGTTGGACAGGGTACGAACGCGGTGGTTGGCCCGTGCAGAGAGGCCGACACGTTCGAGGGCAGCGCCCACGCGGGCCTCGCGATTCCCGATGCTATAGAGACGGGCGTAGTAGTTCAAGTTTTCGGCAGGGGTGAGGTCGTCGTAGAGGAAGCTGCGGTGCCCAACAACCCCGATGCGCCGCCTGACCTCGGCGGTCTGGCGGCGCAGTCATGGCCTGCAATGCGCACCGTGCCCCCGTCAGGGCGAACGCTGGTGGACAGGATTCGCAAGAACGTAGTCTTGCCCGCGCCGTTGGCCCCGAACAGCGAGAGGGTTTCTCCCCATGGAACAGTTAGGTCGAGGTCCCAAAGGACCGGCCATTCGCGGTAGCTTTTTTCCAGGCCTTCGACCACGATGGCGAATTCCGACCGTTCCGGGATCAATGCGCCGCCATCGCGTTGGCAGGGATGGAGCCATTTGTTATCATTATCACAATGTCGCGGCGGAGAATCCCGCCGACTGCGGAGTTTCTGTTGAACGCACAGGCCGAGGAACTACAGGATTCGGGGTCTCGCTCCAATCGCACCCGCTTCATCATTGTGGCTGTGGTGGTGGTATTGGCTCTGGGGTTCATGATCTGGGCGGCCTTTGGCGAGAACACCCGCTACTTCCTGACGGTTAGCGAGTTTAACAGCAAAACCGAAATTCACGACGGGCAGATGGTTCGCGTTTCCGGGATGTTGGTGGAAGGTTCCTTCGAACGCGGGAACAAGTCGACCATCTCTCACTTCCAGTTGACCGACAAGGGAGGGGCTGAGCGTCGAATCTGCGCTGCTTCTGGCCCAATATGAAGGAGTGCTGCCGGACCTGTTCTTCAATCCCCATTCTGAAATCATACTGGAAGGCAGTTACAATGCCGGCGGGGTCTTCCATGCAAACGAGATCCTGGTCAAGTGTCCTTCCAAGTATGTCGACCTTGAAGAGCAGGAGTATGAGGAGCCGGCATATTCCAATACCTGAACCTCTCACTGAAATCGTCTGAGTAAAAATGGGAATCCCCGCCACATGGCGGGGATTCCTTTTGTCTCCGAATCGCGAATCTGCCCCGGGCTAGAATTCGAAGGCGGTCATCAGCTCTTCGGCAGAGCGGGCCCGGGCAGTGTCCCACATGGTTTCCACACGATGCCCCAAGGAGGGCCGCGACTCGTCGTTGTAGACCACACCAACGGGCAGGCCGCCGCGCTGCAACAGGTCGAAGGCCGCGCCCTTGCTGGAACTGTCGTGTTCTTCGGGTACATCCCACAAAGTCGGCTCAATGCCCTTGCGGGGGTTGCCCTTCAGTTCCTCGAACGTGTCGTTGTAGGTGGTGCAGGGAGACTGCACGTGAACTATGGAGAATCCCTCGTGTTCCATGCCCTGCTTGATCAGTTGGGAAAGCGGCCTTGGCTGTCCGGAGAACCCGGAGGCCACGAAGGAAACGCCGAGGGTCAGATACAGCTCGAGCGGGTTTATCTGGGCCTCGATCTTACCGTAGGGAGTGGAACTGGTTATGACACCCAGCTTGGTCGTCGGCGAACTCTGGCCCTTGGTTAGGCCGTAGACGCCGTTATCCATAATAACTGCGGTGATGTTCACGTTGCGGGATGCCTGGGGCCCGATGTGTTCGCCGCCGATGCTGAGGAAGTCCCCATCGCCGGCCACCACGACCACATTGAGCTCGGGCCGGGCCATCTTTACACCCATTGCTATGGGCAGGGAGCGGCCGTGAATTCCGTGCATGCCGTAAGGCTGGTCGCCCTCCAGCAGATGGACCAAGTTGCCGGAACAGCCGATACCGGCCACCACCACGTTGTTTTCCATAGGAAGACCGGTCACTTCCAGCCGGTCGATCATTGCCAATTCCATTGCGCGGCGAACTCCGAAGTCGCCACAGCCCGGGCACCATTTGAAATCGTATTCAGGGTTCTTCTTGCTCATACCCCTACAGCCTCCGTCAGCCGGAAGTTGGTCATCTCCGAAATCTTTTCCACCAGGCTGCGCGCCTTGAAGGGCAACCCGGTGTATTGGGTAATGGACACGGCCTTGATCCCTTCTCCTCTCAAGATCTGAGAGAACTGGCCCTGGTAGTTCAACTCGGGAACTATGACCAAGTCCTTCTGCTTGAGTTCTTCCAAGAGTTTTGGTGGAAGGGGGTTCAGGTATATGGTGTAGTACCACCCCAGCGGCGCGCCCTGCTGATTCAAAATGTCGAAGGCCTCGCGAGTGGGTCCCTTGCTTCCGCCCCAGGGCAGCAGCGCGACGTTGTGCTCGTTGCCCTCGCTCTCGTAGTCGTCTTCTTCCAGCAACTTGATCTTGCTGAAACGGCGCTCCGTCATCTGGATGTGGCGCTCAGGCAGGTGGGTCGTGTCGCCGATGTCGTCGTGTTCACTGCCATTGGCCACGTAGGCACCGGGGCCGCCGGGCAGAGGCATGGGCGAGAGCTCGTGGCCCGCATACCTTTGGTAACCGTTGTTGCCCTCGTAGACCCAACGCTTGGTCTGCTTGACCTTGCTGAGGTCGGGCTTGCGGATGTTCTGGGAGCGTTCCGCCAGAGCCATCTCGGACATGAGGATCACGGGACCTTGGTATTTTTCGGCCCATTCTATGGCCTTGATTGCGCCGTAGAAACACTCCTCCACTGTTCCCACCGCGATTACGGGCAGCCGCACATCGCCGTGGGCAGGAAACATGCAACTCATCAGGTCGGACTGCTCGGTCTTGGTGGGCAGGCCGGTGGCCGGACCGCCACGCTGAACGTCAACCACCACCAGCGGGATCTCGGCGACCCAACTTAGTCCCAGCCCCTCGCTCATCAGCGAAACGCCGGGGCCGGCGGTGGCGGTCATTGCCCGTTTTCCAGCATACCCGGCGCCGATGAGACCGGTGATAGACTCGATCTCCGAGCTAACCTGGTAGGCAAACCGGTCCTTACCCACGAGGTGGCGTTCCATGTACAGAAGGATCGGCGTAGCGGGGGAGATGGGGTAACCGACGTAGAAATCCAACCCGCCGGCGATTGCACCCAGGGACAGCGCCTCGTTTCCCTTGATCATCAACTGCTGGTAGTCGGGCATCTGCGAGGGAGCCAGCTCACCGAGGCTGAAGCCGCTCTGGGCGATGTGTTCGCGGCCGAGGAGGAGGGCTTCGATGTTGGAGCGAATGACCTCGTCGTCGCCATCGCGGCCGCGGTTGAAACGCTTCTCCACAAACTCCTGAAGGAATTCGTGGGGCATATTCACTAGGTGGGCGAGGGCTCCCATGATGACCATGTTGCCCGCGCGGTTGTTGCCCGTTGAGCGGGGCCAGTTCTTCGATTGGTAGGCCGAAAGCACGGGAGTCGCCCTCCAACTCGAACTCCGTGGAGTTGAAGATGACGACGCCGTCTTCACGCACTTCGGAGGCATGACTATCGTAGGCTTCCTGGTTGAAGGCTACCAGGACGTCGATGTCATCTCCCGGCGCCAGGACCGGGTCGACCGAGATGCGGGCCTGCGTCCAAGTGGGGCCACCCAGAATCTGGGAAGGGAAGGTGGCGAACGTAAGGGCGTGATAGCCCACCTGGGTGGAGGACTGGGCCAAGCCTTCGGCGGAAGTCACGACACCCTGTCCGCCTTCGCCAGCGAACCGAACGACGAAATCACGCATTTGCATATGGGGAGGCCTCCCAGCTCACAGTGAGGAGCGGAAAAGATTGAAAGACAGCCGCATAGCCTGCGGGGTTAAAGGAAGAAGGAAAAGACTAACGGGGGGAGAAAAGAAGCAATCCCGATTTGGATCGGGATGTTCAACTGCAACGGTCATGACAGCGTACGAGTTGTTTCCCCTGAAAATTCCGGCCGCCATGGGTGAGCTTAAAGCAGGCTCAGCAATACGACCGATTTTCGCGGCGGTCTAAGCCAATCGACTATACACCGAGCGATTTTCCTTGTCAACGAATTACGCAACGGTGGCAGGGTTTAGATTCAGGTGGTCGAATTGTGTCGTGATGCTGTCACTCTGTCCGGCGTTGCCTTGGCGGTCCGGATTTTCGAACCGCGCCACCTGGGTGCGGACCAGTCCGGAGGTGGACCTGCGCCGACAACGCGCCAGAGGGGTGTCTCAACACGGGATTGCCCCGGATGGGCACCACCCAGGGAAGTGTGCATTCCTGTGCAATTTTCCACGAACGTAAGTCTCAATAAGGGATCTTGCCATCCGCGCGGGGCGACTTGGAGGGGGATGTCGCGACGCGGGTGGCAAAATGAAAATGCTGAATTCCCGCTCTCCAGTAACGGCATATCCTGATTTCGGCGGATGGTGGGGTTGCAATCGCAAGCCAGATGCAATAAAGAACATGTGTGCGATTATACGGGAGCGGAACCTGATTTGGAAAGGGGCAAGTGTCAGAAGACAGTGTTCCGAATCGAGTGGTGGAGTTACACCTCCAGACAGCAAGCATGTGGCCCTGGATTCCCGTCCCGGACCAAGTCGTGGATGACGTTGGTTTGCGGGAGCGACGGCTGCACCGGCGAAGGACCATGTATCTTGAAGTGTTATCCTCAGCGGCCAACCATCGCAGATCCCATCACTCGTCGCCCGATGCCGCATGGGGGCGACCCGCGTGGACCCTCGAGGCCAACGATTGGTGACGCCAGGCTCATTGTTGGCTTTTTTAGCCTTGTGCTAGAATCGGCGCATGGATGACCTTAAGTACTGGGGTGGCGCTCAGTTCCGTCCCGCAGATGGGAACGGTCCGTTTCCGCCGCCTGGAATCATACTTTGGCACTCTCGAGGACGCTTGGAAGGCTGGGCCCGCCCAATTGCGGGAAGCCGGCTTGGACTGGCGCACGGCCCGGGAGGTAGTGGCGGCGCAACAGGATGCCGATCTCTCACGGGAAATGGATGCCCTGGAACGGGCTGGAGTGACTGCCGCCCATTGGAACAGCGACGACTACCCTGCTCGCCTCAAGGAAATCCCTGACCCGCCTCCGGTTATATACTATCTGGGTGAAATACTGCCGGAGGACGAATTCTCCGTTGCCGTAGTGGGCACCCGCAATCCCACCAGCTACGGGAGGGAGGCAGCCTCGGCGCTCAGCCGGGACTTGGCATCGGTAGGGATCACCATAGTGAGCGGTCTGGCCCTGGGGATTGACGGCGTTTCCCATCGTGCGGCGCTGGAATGCGGCGGCCGGACCATCGCCGTGGTTGCCGGAGGCCTGGACAGCGTATACCCGAAGGAGCACGCGGGCCTGTTCCGCCAGATCCAGGGGCAGGGTGCGGTGATCAGCGAACACAGGCTAGGTGTTCGCCCCGATGCCCGCAACTTTCCGCGACGCAACCGTCTGATCAGCGGTATGACGCTGGGCACCCTGGTCGTGGAGGCGGGAGAAGGCAGTGGGTACCCGCTGGACGGTACAGCAGGCCCTGGAACAGGATCGCGAGGTGTTCTGCGTACCAGGCAACATCTTCTCGCCAGCCAGCAAATATACCAATCGCATGATAAAAGAGGGCGCTAAACTGGTTGCGGAATACACCGATGTTTTGGAAGAATTGAAGTTGCCCGAATTAAGACGGCGGGAAACTGAACCTCCTGCCGTTCAGCAACCATTGGAAGCCCAGGAAATCAGGGAAAGTGAAATGGAGGGGGACCTGGAGGGTCTGGATGAGGAGGAGTCGGCGATACTGTCTCGTCTTTCCGGCGATCCGGTACACGTCGATGATCTTTGCAGACAAACCGGGATGCCCATTGCAACGATAACCAGTATGTTGACATTATTGGAACTCAAAGGGAAAGTGGCCCAGATTGGTACCATGCACTACATCCGGGCGTCCGCCGTGGAGGTGATGCATGGCGCGTAAGGCAAGCACAGACAGCAACAGTTCGTCCAGTGCCGAGAGTCCGGCCAAGACGACCCGGAAAAAGCCAGCGACCGCTTCTGCCGGAAAGAAGACCGCGGCGACAACCAGAGCCGCGGCGAGCAAAAAGGGTGCCGCTGCCACTGCGAAAAACGGCAAGGCCTCAGCGCGATCCAGCGGCAAGGGTACAAAGGCGCCTGCCAAAGTCGCTCCGATCAAGACCAAGGGGAAAGACCTGGTCATTGTGGAGTCGCCTGCCAAGGCCCGACCGTGGGCCAGATCCTGGGGAACAAGTATGTTGTAACTGCCTCACAGGGGCACGTCCGCGACCTGCCGCAATGGCGCTTTGGCGTGAACATAGAGGAGGACTTCGCCCCGTCCTATGAGGTCGTGAAGGACAAGAAGGACCTTGTCAGCCAGCTGAAGGCGGCGGGGGACTCTGCCAACGACATCTACCTGGCAACCGACCCCGACCGGGAAGGGGAGGCAATTTCGTGGCATCTCCAGGAGGCGGCCGCCTGGGAGGGCCGCCTGACGCCGCCAAAGCGGGTAGTGTTTCACGAGATCACCAAGGACGCGGTGGAGGAGGCCTTCAACCATCCCCGCGAAATCGACATGCAGCTGGTCAATGCCCAGCAGGCGCGGCGGATACTTGACCGCCTGGTTGGCTACCAGATCAGCCCGTTGCTCCGAAAGCGGGTGCAGCGCGGCGTGTCGGCGGGTCGGGTGCAGTCGGTGGCCCTGCGAATGGTCTCGGACCGTGAACGCGAGATAGCGGCCTTTGTTCCCGTGGAGTCGTGGACCCTCGACGTTAAACTCCGCAAGGAAGACCAGAACATCCAGTTTTTCCGCCCAGTTGCGCTCGGTGAAGGGACAGCGGGCCCGGCTGACCATTTCCAAGGAAGAGGATGCTCGCCGCTATGAGGCTGAACTTGACGGCGCCAAGTACGCCGTGGCCGAGGTCAGCAAGCGGGACGTCCGGCAGCGGCCAGCCGCGCCTTTCACCACGAGCACCATGCAGCAGGAGGCGGGGCGCAAGCTGCGGTTCACCTCGCAGCGGACCATGTCGGTGGCTCAGCAGCTTTACGAGGGGCTGAACGTCGGCGACGGTGGGTCGATCGGCCTGATCACCTACATGAGAACCGACTCGACGCAGGTGGCTGCCTCGGCGGTTACCGAAACACGGGAGTACATCGCTGGGCGGTACGGCAAGGAGTTTCGTCCCGACAAGCCGCGGGTCTACAGCCGCCGTTCCAAGGCAGCGCAGGAGGCCCACGAGGCGATACGCCCCACGTCCATACACCGAGACCCGACGTCCATGAAGGCGTACCTGAACTCGGAGCAGTTGCGCCTGTACACGCTTGTCTGGGAGCGGATGCTGGCCAGCCAGATGTCTGACGCCGTATCGGAATCCACCACGGTCGACATTGATGGAGCCTGCCGGGATTCGGGAAACGTGTACAACTTCCGAGCGACCGGCTCCGTGCTCAAATTCGCCGGATTTCGGACGGTCTACCTCGAAGGGCGCGACGAGACAACCGACGCGGACGAGGCGAAACGCTGCCGCGCCTGGAGGCTGGGGATCCGTTGCTTTCCGAAGGCCTGAGCGCCAACCAACACTTCACTGAGCCGCCTCCAAGGTTCTCTGAGGCCACTCTGATCAAGGCGATGGAGGAAAGGGGCATTGGCCGTCCCAGCACCTACGCGCCGACGATTGGCACTCTGCTCGGCCGTTATTACGTGGAGCGCAAGCAGAGCCGCCTGTTCCCAACTACGCTGGGCCTTACGCTCTCGGACCTGCTGACGGAGTACTTCCCCGGCGTGATGAACCTGGATTTCACAGCGGGAATGGAGGAAGAACTGGACGCGGTATCCCGCGGGGAACGTGGCTGGGTGCCCATGCTGGGCGAGTTCTATGGCCCGTTCCGGGACGCGCTTGACAATGCAACCGAGTCAATGCCCAGGGTGCGACTGGAGGAGGAAACAGACGAGGTCTGTGACGACTGCACCAAGCCCATGGTCATCAAGATCGGCCGGTTTGGGCGTTTCATGTCCTGCACGGGCTACCCCGACTGTAAGGGAACCAAGCCCATCTTGAACAAGATCGGCGTGGTCTGCCCGGACTGTGGCGGCGATCTGGTGGAACGCAGGGCGCGTGGACGGGGCGGCCGGCCCTTCTGGGGCTGCTCCCGCTATCCAAACTGTGAGTTCATCATGAACCGCAAGCCGGTGCCCAACCCCTGCCCGGAATGCGGCAAGCTGATGGTACAGATGAACCGCAACACCGTGGCCTGCACCTCATGCAGCTGGCAGGAGTCGTCCGGCGCTGATGGGGCAAGCGAGCCTGCGGGAACCAGCCAAGCCGAGGAGCTGGTGGGCGTTGGCGACTAGCCCCACGGCGGAGGTGGTCGCCGGAGCGGACGTTCCCGGAAACGTCGCAGAGTTCGACTCCTACCTGGAGCGTTTCCCATACTATCTGCGTGGGCAACGGGGGCTCTCGGAAAACACCGAGAGAGTTTACCTCGCGGACCTGCAGGCCTTTCGGGAATTTCTCCTTAAGGACGACCTGTCGCTGCGGGACATGGATCGCGCCACCCTGCGTGGCTACCTGGCGTGGCTTGCGACACCGCTCAGGGAAGGCGGCAAGGGATACGAGCGGGTGAGCGTATCCCGCAAGCTGACCGTTCTGCGCTCGTTCTACCTGTTCCTGGTGCAGGAAGGCATGTTCCAGTCCACGCCCGTCCCTTCCGGGCGGAGCTTCCGGCTGAAGGTTGCCAAGTCGTTGCCGACCTTCCTGGGGCACAAAGAGGCCGAACGGCTATTGGACGCACCCGATGATTCCACTTCTATGGGAGTGCGGGACAAGGCGATCCTGGAACTGCTGTACAGCTGCGGTGTCAGGCTGGCTGAGATCCACGGGATGAATCTGCCCGACATCAATTTCGGACAGCGGTCGATACTGGTCCGCGGCAAGGGGAACAAGGAGAGGGAGGCGCTGTATGGCGTGCCCGCCGAGACCGCGCTGATGCGCTACCTTAACGAAGTCCGGCCCGAACTGGACGAAGAGGCGGCTTCTGGTGAAAAGACGGACGCGCTGTTTCTGAACCGGTACGGGAAGCGGCTTTCCCGGCGCAGCATCGAGAGCCTGGTGCGGAAGCACGGGACGGCGGCGGGAACCCGCGACGAAGTCCATCCCCACACCCTGCGCCACACCTATGCCACGCACATGCTCGAGGGCGGAGCTGATCTCAGGGTGATCCAGGAACTCCTGGGGCACTCCAGCCCCCAGACCACCCAGATCTACACCCACATTACCAAGAACGAGGCGTTGCACGCCTACCTGGCCCATCACCCTCGCGCGGATGAACCAACCGCTTCATCGCGCCCAGAACCAGAGGAGGAGTAACCGCCGGATGGCACGTTTTCTCGTCTTAAACGGCCCCAACATCAACATGCTGGGGCGCCGGGATGCCGGCTATTACGGTGTCAAGACGCTGGACGAGGTGAACGACGAGATCAGGGCGGTAGCTGATCGGCTGGGTGTGGAGGTCGATTTCTTCCAGTCAAACCACGAGGGCGCGCTGGTTGACTGCATCCAGGAAAACTGGGGCCGGATGGACGGGTTGATAGTCAACGGAGGCGCGCTCACCCACTACGGCCTTACGCTTAAAGACGCGCTCATTGACTGCCGCCTGCCATTTGTTGAGGTCCATCTGAGCAATCCGCTGGCCCGGGACGCCTGGCGGAGGCACTCGGTGCTATCGGATATAGCCCGCGGCCAAATTGCGGGCTTTGGGTGGAGAAGCTATACTGCGGCCTTGGAAATACTGGCCGCATTGGTGGAGGAAGAGTCCCGATGATGCAATCTCGATTGGCGAGTTTTGTCGCCAAGCTGCCCGAACGGGAAGTGGATGCCATCCTGGTTTCCGGGTCGGAAAACCGGCGTTATCTGTCGGGGTTTTCAGGCTCGGCAGGCTACCTGTTCATCACCGGCGAACGGGCCCACTTGGCCACCGACTTCCGGTATACCGAGCAGGCTACCGCCCAGGCTGAGTACTTCAATGTCGAGCAGGTTCGGGTCGGTTGGGACTGGCTTCTGGCCCAGCTAAGAGAATCGGGAGCCAAGCGGTTGGGGTTCGAGAGCCAGTCAATGACGGTGGCGACCTACAACAGCCTGAACAAGGCCATCAGCGAGGATTCGGACCTTTCCGGCGTACTCCTCGTGCCCTTCTCCGACCTGACCGATGACCAGCGCAGCTTCAAGGATTCCGATGAGCTGGTACTGCTGCAACGGGCCATCGACGCCTCGGACCTGGCGATGGAAGAGGTATGCCCCACTATCGCAGAAGGCATGACCGAGCGGGAAGTGGCGTGGCGGATGGAGATGGCCATGCGGGACGCCGGAGCCGATGGTATCAGCTTCGACACCATCGTGGCCGCCGGACCCAATGGGGCCATGGCCCACCACATGCCAACTGACCACATCATCAAGCGCGGTGAACCCATCGTCATCGACATGGGCGCCAAGGTCGGCGGCTACTGCTCCGACATTACCCGCACTGTGGTTGTGGGCGAGCCGGACGAGATGTTCCACAAGATTTACAACATCGTTCTTGACGCGCAGCTTACGGCGATCAAGGACGTGAAGATCGGCATGAACGGGGAGGAGGCGGACAAGTTGGCCCGAGACGTCATATCCGACGCCGGGTACGGTGACAACTTTGGCCACAGCCTTGGGCACGGCGTGGGCTTGGCGGTCCACGAAATCCCGAGGGTCAGTCCGCGTTCCACCGACCCGCTGGACGTGAATTCCGTGTTCACCGTAGAGCCGGGCATTTACCTCTCCGGCTGGGGCGGCGTGCGTATCGAGGACATCGTCATCCTCGGAGACAGCGGCGCCATCCCTCTGAGCAAGGCATCCAAGTAATAGATAGAAAAATTCCCCTCATTCACATTGTAGGGGGGAAGCTTAAGACAGACGAATTCTGACAGGCGGTCTGCATGAGCATTAACTTCAGCGATCTGAATCGTGGTCTGGTCATAGAGTTGGACGGGGCGCCGTGGATGGTGATGGACTATGAGCGCCACAAGATGCAGCAGCGGGCCCCTGTGACCCGGATCAAGATGAAGAACCTGCTCAGCGGAACTGTCGTCGAGCGCACCTTTCAGCGCTACGACACTGGTTTCACCATTGCCGACATAGACAATCGTGCGACCCAGTACCTGTACACCGACGGGGAGTTCTACTATTTCCTCGACCAAGAGACCTTTGACCAGTACGAATTGACGACCGAGGTCCTGGGAGAGTCGCTGGGCTACCTGAAAGAAAACGCCCACGTCGAGGTGGTGTTTTACAAGGGGGCGGCTATCAGCGTGAACATGCCGAACCATGTGGAACTGGAGGTTACCGAGACTCCCCCCTCGTTCCGGGGCGACACCGCCCAGGGCGGGAACAAGCCCGCCACGCTGGAGACGGGGCTACGGCTCAATGTCCCAATGTTCATAACGCCGGGAACGGTTATCCGGGTGGACACTCGTACCGGGGCTTACAGCGAGCGCGTGAGCTGAGGTTGTGACAACCTATACGGTCAGCCAGGTTGCAAGCTATATACGGAGCGAGCTGGAATCGGACGCGCATCTGGCCGACCTGTGGATCGAAGGCGAGGTTTCAAACCTAAGCATTGCCTCCTCCGGCCACGCTTACTTCAACCTCAAGGACCGCCAGGCAGTGCTACAGGCGGTGATGTTCCGCAGCCAAGCGTGGCATCCACCTGCTGGCAAACGGCGACTCCGTGACCGCCCACGGCCGCATCTCCTTCTACGAGCCGCGCGGCACCCTCAACATCATGGTCGATGTGGTGGCGCCACTGGGTCTTGGCGAGCTTGCCCTCGAGCTGGAACGACTCAAGCAGAAGCTGGCCTCGGAAGGGCTGTTTGACCCCAGTCGAAAGCGCCCCTCTGCCCGCATTCCCCAAGGTGGTGGGTGTCGTCACATCCCCGACAGGGGCGGTTTTTCACGACATACAGAACGTGCTGAGCCGAAGGTACCCGCTGGCAAAGCTGGTGCTGTCGCCGACGCAGGTACAGGGCGAAGGGGCGGCTGCCAATATTGCCTCGGCGCTGGAAGTCCTTGACCGGGAGGGTAGCTGCGACGTGATTATCGTGGCCCGGGGCGGTGGATCGCTGGAGGACCTCTGGGCCTTCAACGAGGAGGTCGTGGCGCGCGCCATTTATTGCCTGCAGCACGCCGGTGGTCAGCGGTGTCGGGCACGAGACCGACGAGACCATCGCCGACTACGTTGCCGACGTTCGTGCTCCCACGCCCTCGGCGGCGGCCGAGCTGATTGCCCCCGACATTCGCGACATCCGGGCCACCGTGGCGCATTTCTTCCAGAGGATGGACCGCACGCTTACCGGTCAGTTGCAGCAGGAGCGGGCCGGCGTTGAAAGGCTGCGGAGGCAGATGGAATCGGGGCTGCCGGATATCGCCACCCTGAGGCGCCGGATCGACGATCTCTCCCGCATCGCCGGATCCTCGGTTGCGTCGATGGCGAGGGAGCGGCGGCTGGAGGTGGATGGCCTGCAGCAGAGGCTCCGCGGGCTGGATCCGAGCGCCACGTTGCGAAGGGGATTCGCCGTAGTCGAGTTGGTGGCGGCTGGCAGGGCCCTTACCAGCGTTTCCCAGGCCTCTCAGGCGGACGAGCTGCGAATCACCGTAACTGACGGCGAGGTTCCGGCCGTCGTGGGAGGACCGGAGCGGCACGAGACACCCGCTGCAAACACCGTGCCGGAACGTCGAGAGGAGCCCGTAAAGCGAAAGCGCAAAGCCAAGGAGGCTTCGTCGCCGCCTGCGTCGGCTATGCTGCTCTAACTTCCCCTCACCATTCTCGCCTGATCTGGCCGTTCCTGACCGCCTGCTCTATCTTTCCCGGAGACGCTGGATATGTCCACCGACAACACTGAGTCCCTTGACCCTTCCGCAGGCGCGGATGATCCGGGGTTTGAGGACGCCTTCCGGCAACTGGCCGAGATCGCCGAGCGGCTCGAGGCCGGGGGATTGACGCTGGCTGAGGCAACCGCCCGATACGAGCAGGGCATGAAGCTTGTGCAGCGATGCAATCAGTTGCTGGACTCGGCGGAACTTGAGATCACCACCCTGCGGGACAACTACCAGCGAGCGGTTTTGCCTGCGACTCTGTCCGGTGCGGAAGAACCACCTTTCTTTGATGAAGCGCCGTACGATGACGTCGGTGACGAAGAGGAATCACTTCCCTTCTAGCAAGCGGACCGAGTTTGTCGCTTGATGGAAAACCGACGATGACAGAGACTGCGCTCAAGGTCAGGATCGACCTGCATGTCCACACCCGCCACTCCCACGACTCGGCTGCGCCTGTTGACTCGGTGCTTCGGCGATGCCAGGACTCCGGGTTGGGGATGGTCGCCATCACGGACCACGACAACATTCGGGGCGGTCTGGAGGCCAGAGAGAGGGCAGCGGGCTTTCCGGTGATAGTCGGCGAGGAGATCAAATCAGCCAAGGGAGACATTATCGGGCTGTTCCTGGAAGAACCCGTTCCGTCCAGATTGAGTCCACAGGAAACAGCCAGGCGGGTTAAGGACCAGGGAGGACTGGTCGGGGTGCCACACCCCTTCGACAGAGTCCGTCCCACCGCCATGGGCCTCAGGGCCATTGAGGAAATCCTGCCGTGGGTGGATTTTCTCGAAGGCTATAACGCCCACACGTTCCTGTCGATGGACAACCGCCGGGGAGTGGAGTTTGCCGGAGCTCATGCCTTGCCGGTCGTTGCCTGCAGCGACTCCCATTCAGCACTGGAACTGGGCCGCACCTTCACCGAGGTGCCCGCCGATGAACTGAACGGGACGCCTGAGGGACTGATGCGGGCGATTCGGAGAGGCGCCTGTGTGGGACGCCGTCCGAACCCCTGGCTGATGCTGACCCCGGCATACGCCAAACTCTGCAAGCTTGTGGCCTGAAGATGCTCAAAATAGGCTGGTTTTCCACAGGAAGGGGTGAGGGCTCACGGGGCCTGCTTCGATTCGTGCACGACGGTTTGAATTCCGAGGGAATCGACGCTCGCATTGAGTTCGTTTTCAGCAACCGCGCGCCCGGGGAAGCAGATGGGTCAGACGAGTACTTTCGCTTGGTGCACGGCTACGGCCTGCCATTGGTCACCCATTCGTCTACAGAGTTTCGGAAACGGATGGGCGGACGGTTCGCCGATCACCGCACTGAGTATGATGCCGAGGTGCTGGAGCTCCTGTCGGGGCAGCAACCAGACATATGCGTGCTGGCAGGGTATATGCTCATCGCCAGCTCCCGCCTGTGTCGCGCTTTCCCGCTGCTGAACCTGCATCCGGCACTTCCCGACGGCCCGATAGGCACCTGGCAGGACGTGGTCTGGCAACTGATCGAACACAGGGCAGCTCGCACCGGCGCCATGATGCACCTGGCCACGGAGGAGGTGGACCGGGGGCCGCTGGTGTCCTATTCCACCGTACCGCTGCATACTCCAGAACTGCAGCCGCACTGGTTGCGTCTGGAGAGCCAGGATTTGGCGAACATCAGGGAAACACAAGGTGAGGAATACGAGCTGTTTCGCTTGATAAGGGCCGAGCAGTACAGACGGGAGCCGCACATTCTTCTGGAGACCATTCGGGCTCTCAGCCTGGGAGAGGTTACGTTGGACGTAAGTTCGTTCGGGCGCGAGGTCTCAAAAGCAGGCGGGCGGGAATGCGACCCGGGTGGCTATGGCGGTCTGTGCCTGGACCGCCGGGTCGAAGATTCCCTGCGGCGCGGCCGCATTTGATGCTCGGAAAGTGAGCGCCTGAACCAGAACTGGCTCAGGCTGACTTTCTGATTGGCTCTGTAGGTAACGAGACATTGCCGCCGCTGGAACTCAGCACCTTCGGCGGTTCCCTGCCCTCGATATTCTCCCGATCCACCACGCAGCGAACGGCGGTATTCATGGACGGAAGGTCGTACATCACGTCGAGGAGAGTGTCCTCGATCACATACCGCAGGTAACGCGCTCCAGTGCGGTGTTCGACCGCTCGTTCCGCAGCAGCCTCCAGAGCCCCTGGCGTGAACTCCAAGTCCACCCCGTCGATCTGGAAGAGGTGCTGGTACTGCTTGACTATTGCGTTCTTGGGCTCCGTCATTACCCGGATCAGTGAGCTTTTGTCCAAGGGTTCCAGCGTTACCGTTACCGGCAATCGCCCCACCATTTCCGGTATGAATCCGAACTCCAGCAGGTCGTCGGGGCTTACGCCAGAAGTCATGGTGCCTGAGCCCTGCTGCTCGGCGCGGGCGCCGGCCAGGAAACCGAGCCGGTTGTTCGAAGAATTGACGCGTTTTTCTACCACCTCTTCCAGGCCATCGAACGCGCCGCCACAGATGAACAGGATGTTGCTGGTATTGATCTGCAGGAATTCTTGGTGAGGGTGCTTGCGCCCTCCCTGGGGAGGCACATTGGCCACGCATCCTTCGATAATCTTAAGGAGTTCCTGCTGCACGCCCTCGCCCGAAACATCGCGAGTGATGGAGCGGTTTATGCCCTCCTTGCGGGCGATCTTGTCCACTTCGTCGATGTAAATGATCCCGTGCTCGGCACGCGGTATGTCCCAGTCTGCCGACTGGATGAGACGCAGCAGAATGTTTTCCACGTCCTCCCCCACGTATCCGGACTCTGTGAGGGAAGTGGCGTCGCAGACAGCGAAGGGGATGTCCAGGGTGCGTGCGAGGGTTTCCGCCAGCAGTGTCTTGCCACAGCCAGTGGGGCCGATGAGCAGAATGTTGGTCTTCTGGATTTCGACCGCCGGGGACCTCATGCCACTGCGAACGCGCTTGTAATGGTTGTAGACAGCGACGCTGAGTACCTTTTTTGCCCGGTCCTGCCCAATTACGTAGTCGTCGAGATTGGCGTAGATCTCGCGGGGCGTCAGGCGCCGGAGAGGGGGTGGGGGCGGAGGCGTTATTCCGTCCTCCTCCGCTACGACTTCGGCGAGGGTCCTTACGCAAGAGAAGCAGACAGCCGCCGCACCCTGACTGGAAAGCAATACGTCTGAACTGGGATGCGGCCTGTCGCAAAAGGAACACTGGGACGAACGAGGAGTGTTCATGCTAGTAGTCAACTGCTATTCCCCCACACGAAAATTGCAACCTTGTTGCCCACACCACGGTTGAACCACTGCGGTTTACGCTACTCGCTATCCTTGGCCTCTTCCGAGGCCTCTTTCTTGGCGCCAAGTATTTCGTCGATGAGGCCGTATTCGGTGGCCTGGTCGGCGGTCAGGTAGTAGTCGCGGTCGGTATCAGCGGCAATCTTGTCGTAAGTCTGCCCGGTGTTTTCTGCCAGCATCATGCGCAGCTTTTCCTGCAGACGGATAATTTCCCGGGCGGCAATCTCGATATCGGACGCCTGGCCCTGGGCGCCGCCCAGTGGCTGGTGCATGTGGATAGTTGAATTGGGAAGGGCGTAGCGCTTTCCCTTGGTTCCACCAGAGAGCAGGATAGTGGCCATGCTGGCCGCCATTCCCAGGCAGATGGTGGAGACGTCGGGAGAAATAAGCTGCATCGTGTCGTAGATGGCGAGGCCGGCGCTAACCACGCCGCCGGGGCTGCTGATGTATAGGTTGATATCGCGGTCCGGATCCTCCCTCTCGAGGAACAGCAACTGGGCGATCACGATGTTGGCAATCTGGTCGTTAATCGGAGTGTTGAGAAAGACGATGCGCTCTTTCAGCAGGAGAGAGTAGATATCAAATGCCCGCTCACCCCGGGGGCTGGTCTCAATGACCATGGGAATAATGCTTTGCGGGACGAAAAGTCCGTTGTCTTGGGGTGTCAGGCATTGAAAAGTCTCCTTATGCAGTTCCTTGCTTCAATCGTAGACCTGCCAGAGGACAGTGGCAAGCTCACTCGCTCTTCTGCTCTGCTTCCTGCGCTGGCTTCTTGGAGGAGAGAATCTCGTCGATCCACCCGTATTCCAGGGCTGCCTCGGCGGTGAGATAAAAGTCGCGGTTGGAGTCCTGGGCCACCTTTGTCATACGGCTGCCCGGTGTTTTCGGACAAGATGGTGTTGAGCTGGCGCTCCAACCGGATAATTTCCCGGGCTGCAATCTCAATGTCAGATGCCTGACCCTGAGCGCCACCCATCGCCTGGTGGGTGTGGATGGTGGAATTTGGCAGCGCGTATCGCTTGCCTTTGGCGCCGCCAGCAAGTAGAAACGAGCCCATGCTGGCCGCCATGCCCAAGCATATAGTGGATACGTCGGGACCCACCAATTGCATCGTGTCATAGATTGCCAGGCCGGAACGAATCACCCCTCCCGGGCTGGTGATGTAGAGGCTGATGTCGCGGTCAGGGTCCTCCCGTTCAAGGTAGAGCAACTGGGCGATGATGGTATTGGCCACCCGGTCGTTGATGGGAGTGTTGAGGAAGACTATCCTCTCGCGCAGCAACAGGGAATATATGTCGAAGGCTCTCTCGCCGCGGGGACTGTTTTCAATGACTGTGGGGATAATTGCTTGAGGAACGTAGAGCCCGTTCCTAGCAGGGTCGCTAGTCATTTGATGGCTCTCCCTCGCTCTCGTCTTCTGCAGTAGGTTCCGTCTCTGCCGTGGCCTCTTCGTCCAAGGCCTGCTCAGGTTCCTCGGCAGCAATGGCTTCTGGTTCCGATTCGGCCTCGCTGCCATCGTCCTCGGCACCATTTTCTATGGCGATTTCGACCAGTCGGCCCAGCACCTTGCGGTTCAAGAGGGAGGACCGCAGCGACTCGCGGGAATCATCTGAACCCAGGAGCCGGCGCAAGTTGGCTACGGATTCCTCCGCTGAATTTTCTGTAAGGCGGTCAATCTCCGCGTCTATCTCCGAGGATTCCACCTCTATGCTTTCTTGTTCAGCCAGCTTCCGCATCACCAGGGACGTGGAGAGCCGGTCTTCCGCCTGAGGCCGTAGCTGGTCCTCGAACTCCTGGGCCGTCTGTCCGACGAACCTCAGGTAGGTGTCCATGTCCAGCCGCTGGTTGCGAAGGGTGCGCTCGTGGTCCTCACGGATGGTTTCCATTTCGCGCTGGTAGATGAGTTCCGAGGCCTGTATGGTGGCCAGCTTTTTCACTTCTTCCAGCACATTGCGTTCCAACTCCCGCTGTGCGGTTGCTTCTCCTTCCGCGGTTAGCCGCTGGCGGATATGGTCTGACAAGGCCTCCATGCTTTCGAAGCCTTCCCTGACGCCCTTGGCGAACTCGTCGTCCAGCTCCGGAAGCTGTTTTTCCTTTACGGAAATGACGTCCACGTGGAAATAGCATTCCTTTCCGGCGTAGTTTTCCTGTTCGTGGCCATCGGGGACGGTCAGGGTAAATTCCTTCTCCTGTCCCTCAGTCATGCCCTCGAGGTAGACGGAAAACCCTGGAATGGGCAATTCGTTGTCCATCTGGGGAATGAAGTCCACGCCCTCGTCATCAATGGCGTCTTCGCCTGCGATGGTTCCCTTTACGTTCAGGGTGACCAGATCGCCGAATCCGACGGGGCGTTCAACCGGTTCCCATGGGGCGCTCTCGAACTGCAGGCTCTCCAGTACGCGGGTCACATCTTCGTCCCCGATTTCGACCGGTGGCGCCGATGCCCTTATTGTGCGGAATTCACCCAGGTCGACCTCGGGCTCCAACGGAACGACCGCCTTAAATGAGACGGGTTCGAGTTCCAGGACTTCCAGCTCAGGTTCGGCAAACGCCCGTATCTCGTGTTCGCGCAACACCTGATCGAGGGATTCCGGGATCATGAATTCCAGCGCTTCCTGCACCAGGGTAATCCGGCCCAAGTGGCTCTCTACCACCGATCTAGGCGCCTTGCCGGGGCGGAATCCGGGAATCCTGACACGGCCCGCCAGCCTTCGGTATGAGCGATTGAGGAACGGCTCTTCGTCCTCTGTATCCATAGCGATGTTGAGAGTGACTTCGGTTGGGCTATCTGCTTCCCGTGTAACTTGCACCGGCTACCCTCTGCGTATCCGTTTGCTGCCCGCCGTGTGGGAGGCGCACGTCTTTAAGGAGTCTATAAATGGACTACAAAAGTATAGCACACTCACGTTCCTCACAAAAGGAATTGTGCCTATTGTCTGGCGAGCGCATTCAGCGGTTGCCCACGGCCACAAATTGCTTTGTCGACAGTCGCATAGCTTATTTCCTTGCGCTGCGCGAACCGATGGCGGTGGTTGTTCCTCGAGGTCGCGCTTGCACATGTGGTGAGACTATTCCGTTCACCGCGGGTGTGAAAACAGGGCAAATGTGACTTGTGAATAATTTGTGACAATTTGGATTTTACGGAAAATAGTTTAAAAAATTATTAAAATTTGGTTGACAATTGATATGAGGGATTGGTAAGTTCAGTCATGCCTTGTACCGGCACCTCAATTCTTTGCGAACCGGTACAGGAAGAAAAAGCAATTCTGCCGAGTGTAGCCGAGGACTGGTGGGGAAGTGGTCTTGTCAACAGACATTGCTACAGCCGATGTGGCGCGAGGCCTCAGGAGCGGCGTGTTGAGCTCCGGGGCCAGCGACTCAGGAATGCGCCCTTCGGCTTTTCACCTGCCAGTGATGGCGGACGAGGTGGTTCGTGGCCTTTCTGTTACAGAGGGCGGCGTCTACCTCGACGGCACCCTGGGAGAAGGCGGGCACTCTGCGGCTATCCTCCAGTCGGGATCGAGCCAATCAGGACCTAGCGCCGACCACAGGATAACAGGCGCCGAATCGGCCCGTGCGTTGCCGGGTGTCGCGAGCTTAGTGATAGGGATAGATCTCGATGGGCGGTCGGTGGCAGAGGCGACCCATCGCCTGTCCGGATTCGGAGACCGCTTCCTCCCTTTGCAGGGCAATTATGCAGACATGGTGTCCCTCGCCGCCCGGCAGGGTGTCTCCGAGGTGGATGGTGTGTTGCTGGACCTGGGATTCTCCTCCCGGCAGGTTGACCGCCCTGGCTACGGGCTGAGTTTCCAGGTAGACGAGCCGCTGGATATGCGCTACGACCCTGACCAGTCGGTCAGCGCTGCGGACTTCGTCAACACCGCGGGCGAGCGGGAACTTGTAGAAACGTTCAGGCGGTTCGGGGAGGAGCCACGAGCGAGAGCGGTGGCCAACGCCATAGTCAGGAGTCGGGCGGAGCGGCCCTTCAGGTCCACCCGTGAACTGGCTGAACTGGCTGAGCGGGTCATAGGGCACGCGAGGCAGCCACCGCCTGCACCCTGCCACCAGGATATTTCAGGCGCTCCGAATCGCAGTCAACGCGGAGCTGGAAAACCTGCAGGCGGGACTGGAGGCTGCGGTAAGTCTGTTACGGCCCGAGGGCGTCCTGGCGGTGATCAGCTACCACAGCCTGGAGGACCGTATCGTCAAGAGTTTTATGGTGCATCGTTCGGCCAACTGCGTCTGTCCTCCCGGTCTCCCGGAGTGCGTCTGCGGGCAAGACCCGGCCCTGGCAATAGTGAACCGCCGGATTATCCGGCCCTCCGGTGAAGAAGTCGCTTTCAACCCTCGCAGCCGGAGTGCCCGGCTGCGGCTGGCCAGGCGAATCCAGTCCGGTCGTTAACTCGAATGACCTATTAGTGGGAAGGTGAACACAGCATGAGAGACACGTTCTATACAGCAATAGACATAGGCACGTCGAAAGTTACCGTTCTGATTTCGCGGGTCGGGTCCGAGGGCGATCTTAAGGTCTTCGGCACAGGCGTGGTCCCTTCCGAGGGCATACAGAAGGGTCGTGTTGAGCATATCGAGGACGCCAGGGCCTCTGTCCGGGCAGCCATGAGCGAGGCTCAGCGCTACATCGGCGAAACAGGCCTGAGCGGTGTTTACGTAAGCGTTAGCGGTTCGCATATCCGCAGCACCAACAGGCGTGAAGTCCTGGACAATGAGGCAGCGGCCGAGGACATCTCGCCGAGGATGCTGGATGACATGCTCAGAGGGTCCTTCCCCAAGGTGGACGAAGGCCAGCAGATACTCCACGTCATTCCAATGGGATACACGGTTGACGGGCTGTCGGGGGTGCGCAATCCGCTTGGTCTCGCCGGGAAGAAGATCGAGGTCGATTCGCACGTGGTGATGGGCGACTCCGTTGTCCTGCAGAACAGCATCAAGGCGGTGGAGACCAAGGATGTCTTCGTAAAGAGCCTGGTGCTCCAGGGAATTGCCTCTGCGGAGGCCACCCTGACTGGCGACGAGCGTGAAATGGGCGTCGTGATGCTGGACATTGGTGCAGGAACGACCGATCTGGTGGTCTACCGCCAGGGTTCTCCGTGGTTCTCCGACGTCTTGCCGGTAGGAGCACAGTCTTTGACCCGGGATTTGGCAGCGGCCCTGGGTTCGTCCATGCACGTGGCCGAAGATCTCAAGATCAACCAGGGGAGCGTCTATCCGGATCACGTTCCGGACAACGATACGGTCGAAATCCCTGATATGAAGGACCACTGGCAGCGGCCGATTCCGCGGAGAGCACTTGCCGAGCCCCTGAACGCCCGCATGACCGAGATTCTGAAAATGGCGCTGACCAGGATGAGGCAGGCCGGAATGCAGGACTGGCCAATTGGCGGGATGGTCCTGACTGGTGGCGGGGCACAGATGCTGGGCCTTCCCGAATTGGTGGAAGAGATTGTGGGTGGGCCTGTCCGCGTCGGTTACCCGTACGGCATCTCGGGTTTGCCGGCGGAGCTGCGCAAGCCCACCTTCTCAGCCGCGGTAGGACTGCTGGTCTGGGGAATCAAGCACCAGGACAGCGTTCACGAAATGAATCACAGTGTTCCCAAGGAGACCAAGACCAGGCGGTGGCGGTTCCGGGCTCCCATGCGGCGCAGAGCCGGAACGCAGGCGTAGGTAGTCAGCCGTCAGACGGGGGAATCCCGTACCGGGTTAATCATAGGGCCGAGCAGGGCCAGACCAAAATATCAACAGGTGGGGAGGAATCAAAATGACCACAGGCAATTCAGCGGCATGGGAATCCCTGAACGAACCGGAAAACACTTTTGAAATGGTGCAGGAAGTCAACGCGGGCGCACCTTCCATCAAGGTGTTCGGCGTCGGCGGCGGCGGATCCAACGCAGTCAGCAGAATGTACAAGGACAAGCTGCCGGTGGTGGAATACTGGAGCATCAACACCGACGCGCAGCACCTGTTCCGCTGTGATGTCCCGAATCGCATCGCCATCGGCAGCAACCTGACTCGCGGACTGGGCGCTGGCGCCAACCCCGACCTGGGTCGGCAGGCAGCCGAGGAGAGCCGCACCGAGATCGCGGCCGCGTGTGAAGGAGCCGACCTGGTATTCGTGGCCGTGGGCATGGGCGGCGGCACCGGCACCGGCGCGTCCCCCGTGGTGGCCCAGGTTGCCAAGGAATCCGGCGCGCTCACAGTGGGCGTTGTCAGCCGTCCCTTCCAGTTTGAAGCCGCCACCCGGCGGAAGAACGCCGAGGAAGGCATCGCCAGGCTGAAGGACCACGTCGACACCCTTATCGTCATCCCCAACGACCGCCTGCTCCACATGCAGGACACGCACAACCAGAACTACACTTGGGAAGACGCCCTGAAGATCGCCGACTCGGTCCTGCAGCAGGGCATCCAGGCCATTGCTGAGGTCATCACCGTTCCCGGCGAGATCAACGTTGACTTCGCCGACGTACGCACGATCCTGAGCAATGCCGGCCCGGCCTGGCTGGCCATCGGCAAGGGTGCCGGCGAGAACCGCGCGGTGGACGCGGCCCGCATGGCCACCAATAGTCCTCTGCTGGACATATCCATGGACGGCGCCCGCCGCATCCTGTTCGTGATCACCGGTGGCGCCAGCCTGACCCTGCAGGAGGTCCAGGACGCCGCTCAGGTCATTCAGGACCTGTCGGACCCCGAAGCCAACATCATCTTCGGCACCTGCCGCGACCCGCGGCTGGAAGACGAGGTCAAGATTACCATGGTCGCCGCTGCGTTCCCGGTGATGGCCGAGACCCGGCAGCTGCGGGAGCAAGAGCTGGAGCGTCTGTTGGCCGATGTCTCTCCTCTCTCCGATGACGACCTCGATGTCCCCAGCTTCCTGCGTCGCAACTCCGGCCGCCAGCGGGGCGGACTCCGGTAGACATCAGCAAAAATCGGGCGGGTCTACGGAACCGGCGTGGGCCCGCTCATCCCTTGACAATCAGGTCCTTCAATTGGAGTAATGTTCTCGGCAGCCTGCTGCACTTATCCAACATATTCTGGTAACCAAAATAAGGCGCCGGGAATCCGCTTTGACCGCCCCTGTTTTCAGGGGCGGTCTTTTTATTTTGACTCCGTCTGACACAGTTCCTTTCTTCACAGCCGCTCAAGGCCGGGCTGATAAACTCATTTGACTGCGGTGATACTCTTCATTAGAATCCCCCCACCAGCAATGGTACCGTCGACTTCGGTCGGCACAAAATGGTGTACATAACGTTGAGGCGCGCTGGGGCAATCCAGGAGCGAGCACGAATCCATGCGCTGCCCGTACTGCTCCGATCGAAACTCCAGGGTCACCGACTCTCGGGTGAATGATGCTGGCATCCGCCGACGGCGGGAATGCCTGAAATGCCAGCGCCGTTTTACCACTCACGAGCGGGTGCAGTCCGTTCCGCTGATGGTCTCAAAGCGAGACGGCCGCAGAGAGGAATTCAGCCGGGAAAAGATGATTTCCGGTCTGCGCAAGGCCTGTGCCAAGCGCCCGGTGACCGCGCGGGAGATTGAACTGCTGGTGGATGAGGTCGAGGCCGAGTTCCAGCAGAACGGGAGCGGCGAGGTATCTTCGGACATGCTGGGGACGGCGATCATGGATCGCCTGCAGACCCTGGACCGGGTGGCCTACATCCGGTTTGCGAGCGTGCACCGTAACTTCGAAGAAATAGAGAGTTTTGAGCGGGTGGTCAGAGACCTGCTCGAGGGGAACCAGTTGCCGCTGCTGGATATGCCCCCGCCCCCCCGCCGTTCGGGACGGGGACGCCGACGGGGTGTCGCAGGCATAGCGTCGCCGGCAAGCAACGGAGCGAGCCATGCGGAGTCCGATACCGGCGTCGTCGGCTCCGAAGAACCCGACGAAATAAATCTTAGTGAGGTTGTGGGGATGATGGGAGGAGACAAGGAGTAGCCCCCCATGGATGGCAGCCTAAGGCTCCCACCTCTCGCAAGACTCCTGACCTTGAACACCGAAATATCCGAGTTGCGAACCGAATTGATGCATCAGCCCTTTGCGTCGGGACGCATTGCCGAACTCCAGGAGGAGATCGACCGCCACTATCGTTCCAGCCTGGCGACATGCTGGCTCACTGGCGGCTACGACCTAGAGGCCGAAGACGACGAGTGGGAAGATGATCTCAGCAGCGCGAACTGACCGAAGGCATCACCCCGGTTTTGCATCCGCAATTTAGTGACATTTGCCCCTTGCTAAGCTCCAACTCTTGCCTCTAGCCTAATACCCTGATGACCATAAATCACTCGTACATCTGTTCTTGATACCCAGTTTAGCCCTTATCAAGATACAGTCAAAAGTCAGCAGTTCCCTCCTTGACAGTCTATGCCACGAGATGTAGTCTATGCCACCATGGCATAGACTACATGTGGTATATGCTATCCCATTTATGGGATAGCATATACCATTTAGAGGAAGCTAGGTTATGACCGTATTTAGAGGGGCTGCCTCAGAATCGGACCTAAGCAACCCCAATCCACAGAGCCGTCAGAATATAGCCGCGGCCCTTGAAGCTGCTGGAATCGCTCGGCAAATAAATCACCGCTCTGGTGATTTGACGGACAACGCCGAGGTCGTATTGCGTCGGCGGTACCTGTCCAAGGACCGCGATGGCAACATTCTGGAAGACCCCGATGGAATGTTCCGCCGCGTGGCCCACAATCTGTCGCAGGCGGAAAAGCTGTACGGCGCCGACGAAGGCCAGCGCCAAGCTACCGAAGACCGCTTCTACTTGGCGATGCGGCGCCTGGAACTGCTGCCCAACTCTCCGACCCTCATGAACGCCGGTCGGGAACTGCAGCAGCTCTCGGCCTGTTTCGTGCTGCCGGTGGATGATTCCCTGGACGGGATCTTCGACAAGGTCAAGCAGACCGCCCCTCATTCACAAGAGCGGCGGAGGTACTGGCTTCGCCTTCAGTCGGCTGAGGCCGGAAGGAGACGTCGTTGGCTCCACGGGCGGCGTCGCCAGCGGACCGGTAAGTTTCATCCGCGCCTTTGATACTGCCACTGACGTGGTCAAGCAGGGAGGCACCCGCCGCGGTGCAAACATGGGCATCCTCGACGTTACTCACCCTGACGTCATGAAGTTCATCCGCTCTAAGGAAAGCGGCCAAGCCTTGGTTAACTTCAACATATCGGTGGGCGTCAACGTCGATTTCATGGAGAAGGTCAAGCGGGGGGACTCTTACGACCTGGTCAACCCGCGTACCGGCAAGATAACCGGCCAGCTGAACGCCCGTGAGGTGTTCGATCTGCTGGCCGAGATGGCCTGGAAGACTGGCGATCCGGGCTTGGTTTTCCTCGACATCATCAATCGCGATAACCCAAACCCGCAGCTGGGCAGGATCGAGAGTACCAATCCCTGCGGAGAGCAGCCGCTTCTCCCCTACGAATCGTGCAACCTCGCCTCGGTCAACCTGGCGCGCATGGTGCAATACGAAGGCGGGGACGTTTCCATCGACTGGGACCGGCTGGCCGAAACGATCGAGGTCGCGGTCCACATGCTGGATAACGTCATCGACATGAACGAATACCCCATCCCAGAGATCGCCGAGATGAGCAGGAAAACCCGGCGCATCGGCCTGGGAGTGATGGGGTTTGCCGACCTGCTGGTGCAGCTGGCCATACCCTATGACTCACCAGAAGCCCTGGACACTTCCGAGCAGGTGATGGGTTTCATCAAGGACGAGACCCACCGGGCCTCAATGCAGCTTGCCTTGGATCGCGGCCCGTTCCCGGCTTGGGAGGGCAGCATATACAACGGCCGAAACGGCGATGAGTCGCGCCTGATGCGGAACTCAGCGCCCACGACCATCGCGCCTACCGGCACCATCAGCATCATCGCCGGAGCTTCCAGCGGTATAGAGCCCCTGTTCGCGCTGGGATACGTCCGCAACGTCATGGACAATACCCGTCTGGTCGAGAGCAACCCGTACTTCGAGGCGGTTGCGCGCCACGAGGGCTTCTACTCCGAGGAGCTCATCGAGGAAATAGCCCGCACCGGCACCCTTGAGGGGTTGGAAGTGCCGGACTGGGTCAAGGACGTCTTCCGCACCTCTCACGACATTTCCCCGGAATGGCACGTGAGGATGCAGGGCGCCGCGCAGGCCCACACTGACAACGCCGTTTCCAAGACGATCAACTTCCCTCATACAGCCACAGTGGAGGACGTCGCCCAGGCATACATGCTGGCTTACGAGCTTGGCTGCAAGGGCATCACCGTCTACCGCGACGGCAGCAAGGACGGGCAGGTACTGAGCACTGGCGATACGGGCAGTGCCGAGGAAAAGGATTCACAAGCGCCCATCACCCAGATGCACGTTACGCCGCGAAGCCGGCCCCAGAGCATACAGGGCGTGACCGAGCGGGTGCGCACCGGTCACGGTAACATGTACGTGACCGTCAACTTCGACGAAAACCGCCAGCCTTTTGAGGTCTTTGGGAATCTGGGCAAGGCTGGCGGCTGCGACTCGGCCCAGTTGGAGGCCATATCCCGCTTGGTATCGCTGGCCCTCAGGTCCGGCATTGACCCCGGCACCGTGCTGGAGCAGTTGCGCGGTATCACCTGTTGTCCGGCCTGGGATGATGGCACGCTGGTGCGCTCTGCCCCGGACGCTGTCGCACTGGCATTGGAACGTCAGACCAACGGTGGCGACGGCCCGGCGGCTCTGGGCCATGGTGTTCAGATGGCCTTTGCGCCTGAGGTTGTCCACAACGGAAACGGCCACAATCACGACAACGACAATGGCCGCGACCACAGCGTTGTACAGCTGACCGGACGGCGCTGCCCCGACTGCAACACGCCGGTCATCTACCAGGAGGGTTGCCTGATGTGCATCTCCTGCGGATGGAATAAGTGCGAGTAAAATTCTCGTAGACCAGCCTGAAGTCGTAATAAGCAGGGGCGGGCCAGAACCCGCCCCTGCTTGATATCACGGCCCAGGGCAATCGCATTCGGACATTTTGATGACATTTGCCGCTTGCCAAGCCTTGTGACGCCTCCGTACCATATATGGTGTGATTGCTGATTTCCACAGATCCCCCGTGTATTCCCGGCTGTCGGCAGGGCCGGGAGTTCATCCGCGAACAGGACGAAAAGACCGGATGGGACAAATGGGACAGAATGGGACGGGAATTGCAATTTTTGGTCAAAATGGGTAAATCTCAGATACGACGGAACGTGAATTTGGGACAGAATGGGACAAAATGGGACTGCGTGGGATAAATTCTGTCCCTCTTGTCCCACTGGGACACCTCGTTCCCCTCCAGGGACCCGACTCTCTCGAATAATTGTGCTCCATTCCCTGCGCAGCTACGGAATCGCCCCAGCCAGATTCGGTAGCCCCGCATGAGGGCCTTTGTGAAGATGGGCCGACGGCAACTGCGTGATATAATTCCGCAAGGCAATTGGAAGAGGAACCAGCTATGGATAACGGCGGGAAACCGGGAATAGCCATAACCATGGGAGACCCCTGCGGTATAGGCCCGGAGGTGGTGGCCAAGGCCTTGGCGGATCCTCGTGTCTACGCCTCATGCCGCCCTCTGGTTGTTGGCAGCAGCTACGCCATGGAGCAGGCGGTCACCCTGGCCGGAGTGCCGCTGAGCGTCAGCAGGGCCACTGATACCGACCAAGCAGGGCAGGATAGCGCCGTAATCGATGTGCTGGACATAGGCAATCTGAACCCAGAGGACATCACGGTCGGCGAGATTAACCCGACCTGCGGGAAAGCCGCCATGGAGTGGGTCACCAGGGCCGGAGAGCTGGCCATGGCTGGTTCGGTGGATGGACTGGCCACCGCTCCGCTTAACAAGGAAGCCGCCAGCCTCGCCGGGTACAAGTCCATTGGCCACATGGAGCTCCTGCAGGAGCTTTCCGGCGTGCGGACCGTAGCGACCATGCTCATGGCCCGTAACATGCGGGTCGTGCACCTGACCACCCACCGCTCCCTGCGCGCGGCCTGCGACTACGTCAAGAAGGACCGTATCCTTGACTATCTGCGCCTGACCAACGAGTCATTCCTGAAATACGGCTTTAGTGAACCACGAATCGCCGCCGCGGCCCTCAATCCCCACGGAAGTGACGGTGGTCTGCTGGGCAACGAGGAGGCCGAGGAGATTGCTCCCGCTGTGGAGGCGGCCAGGGCAGAGGGCATCAATGCCTTCGGGCCGGTCCCGGCGGACATTGTTTTCCACCGCCGCTGAGGACCGCTATGACGCCGTGCTGGCCATGTATCACGATCAAGGCCACATCCCGGTAAAGGTCTACGGCTTCGAGGAGAGCATCACCGCCAACCTTGGACTCCCCTTCGTGCGAACATCTGTTGATCACGGCACGGCCTTCGATATTGCCGGCAAGGGAATAGCAACCCACTCCAGCATGCTGGAAGCGATACGGCTAGCGGTCGCCCTGGTCAAGGGAGACGGCCTGTCCGACTTCTGATTCCCTGGCGCGAAATGACGGCGGCGCCGTGGCATCCATAACGCCCCATCAGATTTTTCGTTGAGTGGCTCGAATTGTCGATGGATCTCTTGGCAGTCTCAGACATTCAGTCGTTTTTCCACACCCGGACCGGAGCGGGTACCGCCGAGCTGATTCCCGCCGGTGGTTGTAGGGGTGGTAACGGGCTAAGGCTGAGAGCCTATTTTGATGAACTATCGTTCATTGGCGGCGGCAAGATGGCCGAGTCCATCGTCCACGGTGTGCTGGCCGGCAAGCTGGCATCTCCGGGGGATATCGCCATTGGTGAGCCTGTGCCCGAGAGGCGGGCGTTTCTTTCCTCCAATTCGGCGTATCGCCCGTCGCAGATAACCTGGAGGAGGCTGGTCAGGGGCCGCCAAAGACCTAATCAGATCCTGGCGGTGCTGTGAATGTGAAACCCAGGATTTGGGGGGAGTGCTTGGGCAGCTCAAGGGCTCCCTGAACGCCCGTCAGGCGCTCTGGTCCTGTGTTGCGGCGCGCGGATGGGAGGATCTACACTCTCCAAATGCGGGCTGCAATCACGAGCAGTCTGTCCGGGTGATGCCAACACCACCCGGCCCAACACCCCCGCTCAGGTCGGCAGCGGTATGACACTGTGGACATGCTCGCTGCGACGGCCAGCGTGATATGACCAGGGCCGTGCTCTCCAGCGTTGGTGAAGAGATATACGTCGCCGACGAGAAATACATGGACATGGCCACGGCCCTGAGTGCCAGCGGGCCCGCGTACGTGTTCCTGTTCATAGAGGCACTGATCGATGCCGGAGTTTATGTAGGCATGCCACGCGACATGGCCAGGACTCTTGCGCTTCAGACAGTGTATGGCAGCACCAGGCTGGTTATGGAGACGGGCCGCCACCCGGCTGAACTCAAGGACATGGTGGTATCCCCAGCCGGCACCACCGCCGAGGCGCTGAGGGTCTTGGAGGAACAGGGAGTCCCTGCTGCAATCGTCGCCGCCGTGGATGCCGCCTACAAGAAATCGGTTCAGTTGGGACAGGGGTAGTCGAAGCGGCTTCCTGCCGGTACAGTTTTGGAATTTCTCATTCGCATAGTCAACTACGCTATCATCCTGTTCACCGTGGCCCTTTTTGCCAGGGCAATCCTGTCATTCCTTCCGCTGGTGATGCGGTCGCCCTATCCGGCCTTCCTGGTATCCGTGAGCAGGGCGATCCACCAGATCACCGAGCCTGTGCTGGCACCCGTCAGGCGAATGCTGCCCAACATCGGAGGGCTGGACTTGAGCCCGATGGTGGTGGTGGTGGTGCTCTGGCTTATACGCGCCGTCCTGTCATAATTGTGATGCCGGTTGACCCGTCCACTGATGCGAAATAAACTTGCCGAAGAACCCCATACTGGTGGGACTGATGCAACAACAAGAACTGCTTAAGGGAAACACCGATACCCTTCTGCTGGCGCTCCGATCTCAGAGGAGCCGTATGGGCGACCAGATTGTTAAGAAGTATAACACCGCAGCAGCCACGCGGCTATTTTCGCATTTCATGAAGGCACACTCTCTATCCTGCGCTTCACATACCAATCACATATCGGCTGGAGCGGGAAGGCGATCTGATCGAGGGCCGCTGGGAGGACACACCCAACGGCGTTAGGCGACGCTACTACTTCATTTCCGAGCGCGGGCTGCAGGAACTTACTGACCGTCAACGGGAATGGCAGCGGTTCAGCCCAACGACCATGAATGCCGTTGGACATAGTTGGACATGGCACCTAGTAATCGCCCATCGTCAGGTGGTGCCAAAATGCCGGGCGTGATCAACAACTATCTGAACTCACTGGCTCGCCGCCTCCACTTGGACCCGCACCGGGAAAGGGAAATTCTGGAGGAAGTGCAGGCCCACATTGAGGACAAGGCCGCGGAAAAGGAAGCGGAAGGCCTTGACCGGGAGTTGGCTGTGGCCTGCGCCGTGGATGAGATGGGCGCGCCGCGGTCTCTGGCCAGCGGCATGTACGCGGTCCACAGCACTGGAGTGTGGCGGGATGTGCTCCTGGCGGTTGTGCCTCACTTTCTCCTTGCCGCTCTGTTCGCCCTTCACCTGTGGAGCCATTACTTCCTGGTGTCACTGGTCCTTGTCTGCGATTGCCCGGCTGTCGTGACTTGCGCAACTGCGCGCAGGTGCTCTGTTTCCCAGCCACATTGGTCTTCCACAATGGATGGGCTACACTCTGGCCGCTCCGGCGATTTCATGGCTGCTGTCTCTTATCACGCTCGGCTACGGTGGTTGGACGCTGCTGACCACGGGGTCGCTGCCGTTCAACGTGCTGCTTTTCCTGCTGCTCATCGGATATGTGCCTTTTTCAATGTGGATCGTCTTTAACGTGGTGTCGAAAATAGCGAAGCGGGACTGGCTGCTTGTCTCCTTGACCGCCTTGCCCTTCCCGTTCCTGACTTCCTGGGTGCTGTTCCTGAATTGGTCGGGCGGGCTGTGGAGCGACCACGCGGAGCGCATGCAACAGTCCGACACTGCCCGGGTGTTTATCTTTCTGGCATTGGCTATTACGACTGCCGTGTTCCTGAAGGTTGGCCCCAGGGCTCTGCGGATTGGGCTGTTGGTGCTCATCACCTCGATATTGATAGTTATCACCGCCTTGTCCCTGCCGGTTGACCTGGGGTTCGTTGCGGTGGGCTTCATGATTCTTGCCTCGCTGGCATTCTTGCTCTCACCGGCGGTGCTGGAGGCCAAAGCCAACAGGCGCAACTACCTGAGTGTTGTCAGCCAGAGCGACGACGGAGCCAGCTGATTCTCGGACACCACTTAGCTGCCATTCGCCTCGGGCAAAGTGGACGCCATCCCTGACCGCAATGGGCTGAATGCCGACGTTTCCCGTCTGCGCCCCCTTTTGATGTCGGACGCCCGCAAGTTGGACATGGCGCGGGAAGCCGAATACTGTCCTGTATGCTGCGCCTGGTCTGCGCCCGTGTTCCTGGCATGTCCATCTTTTTGTCACCGCTCTCTTACATGTGGTGTCCCGATATCGTCGTCCTGGAGTCCGACCGAGCTCGCGCAAGACGCTGGTCCCGCGTCCCGAATACACCGCCGTAGAGCACAGCCGGGTGTTTCGGGCTTGCCACCGTCTTATTGACGAATTCGTAGGCAAGGGCTATCCGGTCCTGTTGGATGCCACCAATCTGGGACAGCGCAATCGGCGTCCGGTTATCGCCATTGCACGGAAACATGACGCACCGCTGGCCATTGTAGTGGTAACCGCCCCCAGGCAAGTCGTGCACGAGAGAATGATGGAGCGCGAGGCCGGTATGGACCCGGAAACCTGGTCTGACGCCGGCTTCGACGTGTACAGCCGCATGGCTCCTGTGGCCACCCCTCACCACCGGTGGCAAGCCCGTGGGCATGTGCGCCGGTCCGGACACCACATTTCCAAGTGGACACGTCGCAAGACATCACCCCCGTTCTGCGGCAGGTCCTACTGGGGGGAGGATGGGGAAGGGATGAAAGGGAATGTTGGGGGGGGTGAATGTGTTAGGGGTGTAGTGGTGTCTGGCCTGGTTGAGTGGGCAAGGTCCTGATGGACTGAACATTCAACGGACGGCATGCAAATTGGCGGCAGACGACGTAATAAGTTAACCTCACGACACCATCACGTTCTTGGGACAGGAATGAAGACATGAAAATAAAAGTGGAAACCACCGACATCACGTCGGTAGATACGCAGGCCCTCGTGGTCAACCTGTTCAAGGGTGTGTCAAGGCGCCGGGTGGAGCAACCGGCGCTGTGGACAGGGCCCTTGATGGGGCGATTTCCAGCTTGATTGAAGATGGCGAGATCACCGGAAAG